TTACAAAAAAAATTACTCAACACAAGGTTTGTATCATTTCTCCTCTCGGACGAAGCTCTAACATCATCAATGACCCATCATTATTGATCCACAACGTTTTGAACACCACGATGATCATCTCACCATGATCATTATGAAAATATTCATACTTTCTTCAAATATCTGTCTCGGCTCTACAGTTTCTCTCAAATTTTCATCATGATCAAGAATTCAACTCGAACTCTCCTCTCTCAACTCTCCAGAAAGAGTACCAAGGTTGTTGCTCCTCTCCTTCTCAACAACTCTCGTTCCTTCTCGACCTCTCTCTCCCAAACTCTCACTCCAACCTATCCACCAACCAACAATTCTCACAAACTCTTCAACACTGAGAAGGCAGGAAAGGCAATCGGACCCTACAGCCACTGCACAGTCTTCAATGAAAGATTAATTTTCGTTTCTGGTCAACTTGGAATTGATCCTACCAGTGGTACATTGGTGGAAGGATTGGAAGGACAATGCCATCAAGCTCTCAAGAATATGCAAGCTATTTTGGAGGGAGCTGGAAGTGGAATGGATTGTGTCTTGAAGACGACCATCTTGTTGACCGATATGGCTCACTTTGAAGTGGTGAATAAGATTTATGAAAGCTACTTCTCCAAGAATAAGCCAGCACGTGCAACTTTTGCTGTGAAGGCTTTGCCAAAGGAGGTGTTGTTGAAATTGAAGCTATTGCTTATCAAAGGTCACTCCTCAACATCAATAATTATTCAAAATATCAAGACGCATTCATTACCATTCGATAGGTCAAAATTAATTTTTACTTGAACATGGAATTCAATAATAATCATGTGTTGTTTCACGTATCTCTAATCTCGTGTTATTTTTTCGATCAGTTTCACCACATTCGAAATATTAAACGGAATTCACTAATAAAAAATGATTCGATCGGCAAGTCGTACCATTCGCTCTCTTCGCAACCCCAAGCTTAACCCATCATCATCATGCCTCCTCGTGTTGAGTGAGAAGAAGAATGTTCAAATTTCGGGAGGAGTGATGAATCCCATGTTGAACATTACCTATCATAATAATTCATCAATTTATCGTTCCTTCTCCACTTGTACCTTCTTGCAATCACCATCAACAATTTCCTATCCAACCAATTTGCAAAATATTCTCTTTGAAAAGAGAGAATGGTGTTGCTATTATTACACTCAATAGACCAAGCCAATTGAATGCTTTATGTAAACAACTCGTTCAAGAATTAGCCCAAGTGGTTTCCTTGTGTGAGAAAGATTCATCGGTCCGTGTCATGATCATCACTGGAAGTAAGAAGGCCTTTGCTGCTGGAGCTGATATTAAAGAAATGAGCACAATGACCTCCATGCAAGTGTATCAAGAGAATCTCTTTGGAGAGCTCGAAGTGGTTGCCAAAGCAAGAAAGCCAATCATTGCTGCTGTGAATGGTTATGCTTTGGGTGGAGGTTGTGAATTGGCCATGATGTGCGATTTCATTATTGCTGGAGACAGTGCCAAGTTTGGTCAACCAGAAATTAAACTCGGTACAATTCCTGGTATTGGTGGTACTCAAAGACTCACCAAAGCAATTGGAAAGGCCAAAGCTATGGAATGGAATTTGACTGGTGAATTGTATGGAGCTGAAGAGGCAGAGAAGGCTGGTTTGGTTTCTCGTATTGTCAAAAGTGATCAATTGCTCGAGGAAACTATCAAGATTGCAGATAAGATTGCATCCTTCTCTCAACCTATCGCTCAGTTCGCCAAGGCATGCGTTCAAAAGGCTCACGAAATGAGTTTGCAAGAGGGTCTTGATTATGAGAGAAAACTTTTTATGTCCACTTTCTCGACCAAGGACCAAAAGGAAGGTATGAGTGCATTCGTCGAAAAGAGACCACCAAAGTTTGTCGATGAATAAATTGTTCCTTAGCCTTAACCCTTAGTTCAGGCTTTTCATGGAACACGAGGTGAAAATGATTGCTCATTTCTCAGTAAATGATTTGTTTTTCTCATCTATGGGAAATTCAACAAATTTGCACACTTTAAATTGACTGTTTAAGTATTTTCTTGATTTTATTAGGAGGCAGAATTGTGTGGGAAATAATTTATTCGGATTTTCCGAGGTGCTTCAAAACAAAGTTCAAAGCATCTTCTTGATCCTCACCAAATCCACTCAAATCAGTAATGACAGCAACAGCACACTTTTGGACTCTTCTAGTTCTCATTTGCTTGTCATACTTGGCAAGACCAACCCATTCACCCAATTGTCTCTTGGATGGAACTTCCAACAAATCAACCTTCTTGAAAGCACAGAAAGCCTTGATGAGCTTCTTGTATTGATCCTTATCACAGTCATCAGCAAGAACGCACAATTGGGCTTTATCCTTAGCCAAGGTTCTGCAGACTTCTCTCAAACCACGAGCAACAGCTCTGTTGGCAGAGGCAGTCTTCAAGACTCTCTTGATAGCAGTGTTCAAGTTGAGTTCTTCCTTTGGTTCTTGAACGAGTTGTTCGACAGCTTCAACGTTCGACATTTTGGCAATTAGTGGTCACTACAACAATGTGTAAAGTTGCTCGCACAGGTGTGGTAATGATGAATTTTTTTTTTCAACAAATTTTCAAAAATTCTTGTCAACCGAAAACATTATATTTTACAATGGGAGCGAGTGTGGTTCCATTGAAATGATCATCGAGTCAAATGTGAATTCACTCTTTTCAAACACCATGACAGAGCTGAAAATCATTTCTCTTTAGTCCGTCTGCTCTCATCATGATGAGGACCACCT